AAATATATTTTGAGATATTTGTGCATGCCGGTTTCAAGATGCATCACTTCTATGAGCTTGGTGCCCAAGCAGGCAAACGTCTACCATCAAGCTCTCCAACACAATCTTGTCATTCAAACATAAAACCCTTTAAAAGTCTTTTAATTAAGTAGTATCATCACATTTTAATAAAGATGAATAGCTAAATAATAAAACCTTAAACCATGGATAGTATCTTTGATCGTGCAAGATTTTAGAATGTGTTGTGTGTTCGTTTCATGGCCTGATGAGAGTAGAGCTCATATGATTTATTGCTCGCACAAGTTGATGTATGTGTTGATTGATGGTTTCGGTTGAGTGCTGAAATCTCTCAGCAAGTACACGTTGTCTTGTGTTATGTTTTTTGCTAAAAAGAAAAACACACATACTGATTCCTCAAGGCATAATTGTTGGTGGGGAGTTTCTTGCAAATATCCACCATCTCGTAGAATCTGACAACAGCGCATAAATGTATTCATGTCCGATCTATAACTTTCAAATAACTATTGACGGTGGCCCATTAATAATTCTTGAGCCCATTGTCGGCAAGTAAGTGATGAATTTGCTACAAGGCATCCCCCATATTTCATCCCTATCTCTTTCTTTGATCAACCTGGATACCATAAATCATATCATGTGGGTCGTCGAGCTCAGATCTTCATCAAATGCTTCATAACTTCCGGGAAATGAGTTTGGATACCTTTCATGTCTTGTCATGCTTGTTTTACCTAAAAAAATAGCTAGATATCAATAATTTGTTAGAATCATAAAAATATATTTAAAAACCAGAGAGGCATAAAGAGTGGGATTGGCAAAAACAGGAGCTTGCTGCTGCAAAGAAGAAGTATGCTGCCAACATGCAACTAATTTGCAATGGAGCTAAGCAGTATGCTCGAGAATACAAGGAACAACAAAAAGAGCTCATTCTGATGAAGCATGAATCAAGGTTGAAACGAGGATTTTATGTCAACCCATATGCAAGTTGCTATTCATTATCTATATCAGAACTAGCTTCAGATGCAATGCACCCAAAGACAAAGAAGGAAATATATATATATATATATATATTTATAGGGTACAACCTATGTGTTACCACTACCCAAAAGAGAAAGAAAAGAAGTGTAGTCTTCAATTGTGAAATTAACTCACCTCCAGTTTTTTTATGGATGCATGCAAACATGTAAGTTCTTTATATAGACATTTTATTTACTATATCAGGCGATATGACAACGCATTTGGCCATCAGCTAACCATAAAATTCCAACAACCTTTTCACAATAATACTGATCAGCACTATAAAGCACGTAATATAAAATAATGGCATTGTGGAGATAAGGCAGTGTAGTGTGTTTGTCAAATACACAATGCTATTGGAGATTATAAACCTATTGACAGTTTTGGACACACACTTCTATTTTTCTTTAAAAATGTGAACAATACTTGCTTTCCTGCATCAGTGCTCAAGAAATACTATTGCTTTACAGAACTTTCTGACAATATTTTCAATCATGCATGCTCCAACCTCTTTCGTAAAAAAAAAAAAAAAAGATTGCCTCAAATAATTGAAAAAAGATGAAAAGAAATTTCACCTTCATAAACAAGTTGGCAAACCTACTTTGCACGCATGCTTCAAGCAGAAAAAATAAAAATCAAAACCCGCACTCATGATCCACTGGCTTCTGTGTTCCTTCTTATTCTTTTTCTTTTTTTTTTGGTTCAAAAATTCTATGTTCCTTCTAAAATTAAAAACTTATGTATGGACAGAAATAAATCATCCCAACAACTCCCCGAAAATACCTTCAGTAGTAGAAGTAGTATAAACATATGAAAATATTTTTTTCCGTGATAACGTGCAGAATGAACCGAAATAAACACAATCTTCTTTTTTTTTTTTTGCATTTCTTCTTGTTTTCCCCCCTTCCTTACCATATCTTGAAAGAATTAATTCTCCTGCTCCAAAATAAAAATCGGTTTGCTCTTCGTTTTATTCTAAACCCAACTTTAATAATGACCTTCAAAGTTAGAGGAGTAGAAAGACTTGTTCTGGTGGTCTCCGCTCAGCCGTTTGTAGTTGTTAATTTTTTATAAACTAGTCATTATTTTATCTAATTTTAACTTATGGAAAAACATTCGAAAAGTAACGTCAAATGATTTTAATATAAATTATTTTCCCAATGTTTAAAAGCCAAGTATTATTTGAAAACTGGCAAAGTAGCACACATGGAGATGTTATGCATGTCGATTTGAGACATAACGGTAGGATTGTTTCTGAAACCATGGAACTACATAAACGGAAAACGATCAAAGAGAAAACATTTCCTCAATAGAGAAAATTACATCCAGTGTAAGATAGATCTAATTCCCCTGTAAAAAAGCACCAAGATTTAGGTGTTCTTCACTTTTGGAGCATTTGTTAGTTTATTCATTGGAGTATTTTCGCTAGTCGTTCCATCAATAAATCGAAAGGATAGGGTTATTTGAGAGGTAACCGATTGGGTTGCTAATTATAAACACTTTTCTCCATCTTCTAAACCTTCTCCATCCTATTTTGTGTAAATTTTTGTGGTTTGCATCGTTTTCTCTTCTTTTGCACATTTTTAGACTATTTTCCATTGAAGTAGCAAGTTATCACGTCCTGCAAAAGTCATAGCTTTCACGTTGATGTAAATCTGCCACCTTTACCTCAAGATTCATAACAGAAGAATTTATTCATTTAGAATGTTGTTGTTGAGTCATGATTGTTCGGTTTTTACCCCTCTAAATTCCTTCAAAACTAGTATGCTCTCAACGTTATAACGAATGAATAGAAGTTGACTTCTACACCTCCTATCTTAGGCTATTGGTGGCGGTGAAGGAGAGCATAATGGTGAAGAAGTAACTTCATGAAAGAAGATAACAGTTATTTTGGTTGGGGGTAGAGACAAAACTAAAAGGGGTGAAATAGGAAGAAACCATGAATTTGGAGAAACCGATTGGGTATGGGAAATATTAGCAAAAACTTGGAATGATTCCATTTTGTGTGGGCCCAATAGTTCAACCAAGCACCATATAAGGGTGTGAAAGTAATGGAAATGGATTCATACCCCCATACTAAGCACCTCCGAACTACTGTAAACAAATGTAGATGATAATTGTAAAAAGTAGCAATGATACTATGATAGTGACAGTACAAAATAAAGAGCAAAAATGTGTAATGACAGATGTGTACACAATAATTATGAAAAAAAAAAGTAATTTTGAGGGGAAAAATAAAATATTAACGGTCAAATTTCAACGAACTCGTGACTACTCCCCCGAACCTTATGATAAACATTTTCTATTTATCTTAAGTTTTATCTAATATGTTCGTGCAATTAAAAATCAGAAAACACAGTAAATGTGAAATAATATTTTTAACGTTTTTTAAGTATTTTTACTATATTTTCCTTGTGAAAAGTATTTCTCCAAAGGACAATATATTTATTAGGCCGAAATATAAAGGACCAAAAATATAGGATGCACAATACACTAATGTATAAAAAACATTGCTGAGCGTGGCCTTAGGTCTGCTGATTCGGTCGGTTCGGATGAATTCGGTTCTAGTAATTCAGTTTATTTTATTTTCTTTCACCTGTCCGAAACCGAACCGATGTTTTACCTCCCCGAACCGACTGATTAAACAATCGGGTGATCGGTTCGGGGGTCGATTAAACCCGAAAAAAAAAACAAAGGCCAAATATGCCAAAGAATCAGGGCATACAATTCCATTGCAATTTCTCCCAGACATCAAATTACAGTTCATCATCATCAAAGGGAAAACTTCTTGTTCATCATCATCAAAGGGAAAACTTCTTGTTATGGCCGTACAATTTAGAAAACAAGAAGCATAATCAACTCATTACCACAGTTCCACTCTTTGCAACTCACATGTTTTCAAACATCTGTGAACTCTATATTTACTTAGAAAAATTTTCCACACTAGAAATAAGAATAACATTCAAGGCTGAAAAAACTTCTAAATATGATTTTCTCAACAATCATTTATTAAAATTACTAAACATAAGTAATTAGTTTTGTTTTTCCAAAAATAAAACAAACAAAAAAATCAACACCAAATGCAATTGGCAACAACAAATTGGACGCACGTAATTGCTGCACATAGGGACCCCAAAACTGAACCAAAAAAAAAATGTAGAAGCGCACTCATTTTTTTTTTGATTCAGTAATTCAGTAAAAAAATCCCAAGACAATTCTCTAGTATTTGACAAAATCTATTAATTCAGTAAATAAAACTCATCGGCTAATGAATGGGGCAAAAAATAAATGAAGAACGATACAAAGCGTGGGATGATTCAGATTCAGCCAAAGTGGTACAGATCCAAATCCTTTCCTTTTCCTTTCTTTTTTCTTTATTTCTTTCTTCAAAGCAGCAATACGGCGACATCAATCTTGCCTTCAAAGAAGAACGACGAAGCGAAAAAGGACAAAGGGTTCAACTTTTTCCCTTTGGATTTTGATTTAGATGGAGAAAAATTGACTAGATCTGGAAAGGATAGGTCGGATTGGTGGTGAAATCGGACGATTGTGGATGTGGAATGATGAAATCGGTGGATTGTGGTGGGAGTTGTGACTCTGTGAGTGGAAGAGCAGCGGCGAAGGAACGAAGTAGGAGGAGAGGAGAAAATGGGGAGGCAAAAAAAAGGGAAAAAATAAGAAGCTTATATATATCTAATAAAAAATTAATTAATCGGGTTATTTGGGGCTTCCCGAATAATATTTCTTAAATTCGAAACCGAACCGCATAGGTTAATCGGTTGATCAGGTAAAACCGAAATTTACCCAATTAAATCGATTAGTCGAATAAATATCGGGTCGGGCGGTTCGTCTGGTTTTGCCGATTAACGAGCAGCCCTACGTGGCCTACCTAACTTTGGTCATCGTTCGAGATTCGGTAGTAATAGTAGTTTCTTTTTGGTCATCGTCCTCATTTCTCAACTCCCAAACCCCCAACATCACCGAAGAACGCCTTCCTTTGTTTCTCTGTTTTGTTTTTCTTTTTTTCTTTTTCCAAATCAATTTTCCTTTTCTTGTTGCGGTGAGCTTGAATGTTATCTTAAATCCAAACCCAGCTCCATTTGAAGAGTAAACAAATTCGAGTTTTTCGGAAAGCGGGCTTTGGGGGGGTTTTAGTTTTTTCTTTTCTTTTTGAATTATTATTTTGAATTGGATGGAGAATAAACTTCATCATTCCAAACCCTAGAAACAGAGGAAATGGAGTTTTTGGGGAGACGCGTGAAGAAAGAGTTTGAAGGGAAAGATACCACCTCTTTGGGAACGGTGAGATCCTATGATTCGTGCCGCGGTTTTTTTAAGATCGAGTACGAGGACGGCTATTCCGAGGAGTTGGAACTGTCGGAGATGATTACTCTTCTGCTTAAGGAGGATGATGGGCAGCAAGTGGGGAATTCTGTTTCCGGTAAGGGCAATTATTGTTCTGATAGTGCTAGTTGTGGAGAGTTAGATTTGAATTCTAGTGCTGGGGCTTTGGATTTGAATGTGTATATTAATTCGAATGAACGGTTGGATTTAAATTGTGTGGGGAAGGATGTTCTAGATTTGAATTGCATGATGGTGGTCGATCATGAACATTTTAATTCTAATGTGGAGAATAAAGTGGCACATGCTAGAGAGGATATCATTGACTTGAATATGGATGTGAATAATGAGGGTGATTACGAGAATGTAAAAGTGGAGGTAGATTTAAATGAGAGGAAAGGCCATTGTTTTGACCTTAATTTAGGATTGGATGAAGAAATCAAGGGCTTTTCAGAGTGTGTGGTGTTGGATAATCATACTAAGCAGAGTTGTTCTGAATCAGTGGGCCGGGATCCACTCAAGAATGACGAAGCTAATTGTGTAAGTGGGCAAGTTGAAATGGTTGATGTGAAAAATACAGGGGACCAGCAAAGCATTTTGCCAATGGAAAACAATTTGATTGACGGTACTGCTAGCGTGACTGAAACGACGACTCCTTTAAGCAATGGAGGCTTTTCTACTGCATCTGGGTTAGAAGATGAAGCTTTGGGTTGTGCTCTCCGAAAGAGACGTGGTAGGAAGAGAAAAGTATCTTTGGATACTGATACAACCTCTGAAGCTGTAACTGAGTTTAATCATAGTAATCTTGTTGAAATTGAGTTGAAGGCTCCTTCATGTAATGATGGCATTGTTGCTCATTTTGACTCTAATGCTGATATTGTTTCTGGAAGTGCCCTCAAAGGGAAGCGTGGTAGGAAGAGAAAAATGCTTTTGGATACTGATACTAACTCCACAGCCAAATCTGACTTGACTGGAATGAAATTTGTTGAAATTGAGCGGAAAACTCCTGAATGTAATGATGGTATTTCTACTGGATTTGAGTCAAATACTGACACTGTTTCAGGTAGTGTCCCTAAAGTAAGACGTGGTAGAAAGAGGAAAGTTCCCTTTGATACTGATACTAATTTTAGTGTTGAGACTGCTCTGAGGAGAAGTACTCGTACAGCAAGAAAATCTGCTCTTTTGAATCAAGATAGTACTTCCCACCCATTAGTACTATCTGATACTGTTAATGATTTATCATTATCTCCAACTGCTAGTGCAGTTACCGAGGAGAAAATATCAGAAAGAGCGCGTCATGAAATTTCACCAGAGCAGAATGTGCTTCCTCCAAAGTTAGATCTGCCACCTTCTTCAGGGAACTTGAATCTCGGGGACATGCCTGTTCTTGATATCTTTTCTGTATATTCATTTTTGAGGTCTTTCAGTAGTTTGTTGTTTTTAAGCCCATTTGAGTTGGAGGATTTTGTTTCATGCTTGAACTGCGATGCCCCGAGTTTTTTGTTTGACTCTATACACGTTTCTCTCTTAAATGTCTTAAGGAATCATTTAGAGTCTCTTCCTGATGATAGCTCTGAATCTGCATCTCATTGTCTCAGGTATTTAAACCTTTATCTAACAAAGATCTGAGAGCAAGATAGCTTGTATTTTTCTTATAATTCTTTTGTGTTCACTTTGTGCTCATCCAAGTCTGTTTCAATTTAATTTAGGTGTCATGATTGGGATCTGCTGGACATGATCACATGGCCTGTTTTTATGGTTGACTATCTCTTAACTTATAGTTCTGGGTTGAAACCTGGTTTTGATATTTCTGGCTTGAAGTTATTTGAGAGTGATTACTATAAACAATCTCCATCAGTTAAGATTGAGATACTTCGAAGCCTTTGTGATGATGTGATTGAAGTTGACTACGTGAAGTCAGAGATCAATAGAAGAAGTTTAGTAAGTGAACCTTTTATCGATTTTGATCGGGATATAAAATCTGAAAATAGCAAGAGAAGAAAGACAGAGATGGACATTGCTGCAAGCTGTGTGACAGGGGAAGATAATGAAGAGACTGTTGATTGGAACAGTGATGAATGCTGTCTTTGTAAGATGGATGGAAACCTAATATGCTGTGACGGTTGCCCTGCAGCATTTCATTCGCGATGTGTGGGGGTAATCAGTAGTCATTTGCCAGAGGGTGATTGGTATTGCCCTGAATGTACGATCTGCAAGGATAGGCCCTGGATGAAAATGGACAGGGCTATGAGAGGGGCGGACTTGTTGGGAACTGATCCATATGGTCAGTTATATTACAGCTGTTGTGGATATCTATTGGTGTAAGTCTCCTCTTCATGAGTGTGATTTTACTGACAATTGTTATGCAGGTAGTTTGTTGAGGCTTCACTTCTTAATTGGAAGTTATTGTAGTTTGATAACCATATGATAACAAAATCCTCTTTGAAAGACACCATGATCAAGGGTGGAAAATTGAACACGTTTCCATCTTCCACTTTAATAAAATAAGCCTGAAGAGGCAAGCTGATGCAAGAAGATTTCAGAGATAGCCTTAATGATAAATTATTAGTATAAGTAATTTACTTTTAGTTAAGTATTTTATTTGATGTCAGTTTTAGTCCTAAGTTTTAGGAAATTAGTAGGCCTATTGGGGTTAGGATTACTTAGGATCTCTCTACCTTGTTCCCCATCACAAGAGATCAATGCGATTTGCAAAGTAGATGAGGAGCATTTCAAGCTGTCTATTAGTCAGTTAATCTTCATTTCTGAGATATGGGTTAAAACCAAAAAAAAAGGAGTGATTTATACTTAGTTGATTTTGTTTATGCTTGGACTCAGTTGTATCTGCTCTGATTCTGTTGCATTGCAGATCATTAATTCTTGTTTGTTGTCGTTGACTCTATTTGATAAATGTTTTGTGCTACATTGTTTAGCATAATGGTCAAAAGTAGTTATTCGTTAATTACAGGTGTTCTCACAACTATCGAGATAAAGTAATTCTTTGAAGCAAGTGAAAATTGATGGATTATGGAAATTGCACATGCCCCCAAATTCTTGTTACTAAATCAGATTAAGCTAGGTTACCCGCAGGGACTTGAATCTATTCTGTTCAGCTGTCCCACGGATTAAAATTATGCTTGCATGCTCACTTTAAACATCATGTCTCGCTACACATAGCTCTTTCCTTGTATGAGGTTTCTGGATTTTGTTGTATCGTAACGGCTAGAGATTGTTGACTTGATGAAGATAGCATGTGTATCAATATAGCTAGGAGTTGGTGATTTATCCATTTTGCCATTTGGGAGTGTTTAGATGTCAACTAATATCTACAGTGTACAATGTAATAACTGATTACCAACCGTAAACTTTGGCCTTGTGCTTTGACTGGATTGACGTAGGTTAGCTTCACATTATTTAACCTAGGTTAACTTCACATCTTTTTTTCTGCTACGTAAATCGAATTCGTTTTGGGTAATTGGGGTTGAGTGTTATTGCAGCATTGCAGCATTGTGCTTTAGCCTCAGCTGGGTTTTACTCGATATCTTGTGTCTGCAGTGTATCACTGCCATATTGCACTTGTACTATTTTTATCTTCTCTTTTGATATTACTTAATTAGACTCCCCCAAGCGTTTTGGACCATCTGCGCTATGCTTTGATTTGAGTTAATGTATTTGTGGTTATCTTGATACTTCTGATTGTCTGTTGTTTTCTAATTCCACTTTCTGTTATTTTCTAATGTTTATTATAACTAATCGTTAGACAAAATTTGCAGTCTGGAAGATCCTCACAGTGAAGCATCATTTAAATATTACATCAGAGAGGATTTGCATACTGTTCTCGAAGTGTTAAATTCATCAGTATCAGTCTACTATACAATTATGAGTGCCATCTTTAAGCAATGGGATTTATCATTTGAGCTTAATGGCGCAAATAATGCCATATCAAGAGAGGGTGTGCCTGTGCAGCTTTTGGCCCATTCAGATGCTCATCCAAAAGCCACTGACATTGTGACAAAAGATGTTGGAGGTGAGGTTTCAGAGTTGGGTTTTGTGAATTCCGTCACTGTTGACCATGTAATTAACCTGGGACATCAAAATTTAAGTTCTGAAGGCTCTGCTGATGGTTCACAAGCAATAACTCATAATAATGGAACTGCTCAGTCCAATTGGTCCAGCGTACACACTCTCGCTGCAGACAGAAGGGTTACTCGAAGAAAGTTTTCTGCCATGTCTATTCCTTTAGCTGCAAACGGCAATGATGTTGCAAAACGCGGTCATGACTTGTCCTTGACAAATGCAGGTATCAGGTCACCTGCATGCAGTTCTGGTTATGTGAACTTTTACAGTTTTGCAAAAACAGCATCTGAGATTGCTGATCTATTGATCAAGAAATCATCAAACAAGGAGTCGGAGGATGCTTTGAAATCTGTTGATGACATTTTATCAGAACAGATGAAAGCCATATCGGATAAATTTGCGGAGTTCTGTTGGCCAAAAATTTCAAATACTCATGATGATGCCAGGAAAGAAAATTGTGGTTGGTGCTTCTCGTGCAAAGTTCCTGAAATTGAAAGAGAATGCTTGATTTCCTCATACACTAATGGTCCTTCTCTTGAAAATTCAACGAGTGAGTGTGTAAGTACTCGTTTGAAGAAGAACAAGAAATGTCATCTTATTGATGTCTTGTGCCATTTGCTCTGCATTGAAGAACGTTTGCAAGGACTTCTCTTGGGTCCCTGGTTGAATCCTCATTACTCTAACTATTGGCGTAAAACATTGCTCAAAGTAACTGCAATAGCGCATGTGAAAAGTCTTTTGCTCAAGGTATTGACTTATAGGTTTATATGGCCCGTACAATTCATTGAGATTGGGTGTTTACTGATTTCCTGAACTGCCGGTTCCATGATAGATGATTTTGCACTTGTTATTTATATCTGCAGTTAGGCAACTACAAGTTCCTCTTTCACTGATTTTAGCATTTCCTTCTTGTTTTCTTTAGATGACATCATGAGTTTCACAAGAAAGATTTTCTTGCAGAAATTGTCCCCCTTAGTTCAACTCATGCGCTACTTTGGCTGTTGATACCTTTGAATCTCGTTTAGAGCATTAAGTAGAACTGATAAGATAAGTTCTGTGCATAGATGTATGGATTATTGAATGTATGCATATTGGCAAGTTAAAGTCTTGATATGGCCTGTAAGTTTAAACTAGTTGAAATGTATGCATTTCTGTAGTTGTTTACATTTAATATAGATCCTGTCTGATTGATTTTCTTCACTGGTGGAGAATTTTTTTTGTCCAGACTTTTGAGTGATATATTGCATAAATATATTGTATAATTACATTATACCGAAAATTCTAAAATCTCTTTGCTACCAGCTAGAGTCAAGTTTGCGTCCTCTGGCGCTTTCAGCAGATTGGACAAAGCATGTGGATTCTGATGTATCTGTAGGCTCTGCTGTTCATATTGTTACCACCTCTTTGCGCGGATCTTCAAGGAATAGTATTGTCAGGAAACGAGCGAAATTTCCTGACCTTGAGCCTATTTCAGCACCTAATGCTGCCAGTGGTTTGGGTTTACTTTGGTGGAGAGGTGGCCGCCTTTCTCGTCGGCTTTTTAATTGGAAGGTGTTGCCTCGTGCGTTGGCTTCTAAAGCTGCCCGACAAGGTTTACTTTGTGCTTTGCCTTTGTTTTTGCCTTCATTGTCTTTCAAGTAAATATTTTGAAGCTCTTTGGTTTTTGTTTTCCTTTTTTATTTCTTTTTGACCTTCCAAAGGTGGATGTAAGAAAATACCCGGCATACTATATCCTGATGGCTCCGAATTTGCCAAGAGAAGCAAATTTGTTGCGTGGAAAGCTGGCGTTGAGTTGACCAAAAGTGTGGAGCAACTAGCCCTTCAAGTATGTTGCCGCAATATCCTCATCTGATGCATTTTATTTATTTAAATCTTGTGTGTTTTTCTGAGTTTAGAGTTCCAAATGGAACAAAATGGAATTCATCCTTTAGATTTTATTGGGAATTGTTGTTTTAAACATACCTTCCTCTCATGATGTACTTGTTGCATGTATGTCTTGATTTACCATGTTGGAATCTTCTTGTTAACTCAAGCGTTTTATTTTTATTTATTTATTTATTTTTTCCTGGTTTCAGGTTAGGGACTTTGATGCAAATATTAGGTGGGATGATATTGAAAATAAAAATGTCATGTTAAAGCTGGTGAGAGAATCCAAAAAACCACTTAAGTCATTTAAAAAAGCAATAGTTCGAAGGAAGTGCATTGAAGGAACTACTGTTAAGTATCTTCTGGACTTTGGTAAAAGAAGGTTTATTCCAGATGTGGTTCTGAAATATGGATCAAAGGTTGAAGAGTCTGATGAAAGGAAAAAATTTTGGCTTGAAGAGTTTCATGTTCCCTTACATCTCTTGAAAGGTTTTGAACAAAAAAGATTAGCTCGCATGTCAAATAAGGTAAAGTTCGGGAAACTTCCGGAACATAAAAGTGTGGTGAATCCGCCTCCAAAGAGAAAGGGTTTCTCGTATCTATTCTCCAAAGCAGAAAGATTGGACTACTATCAATGTGGACATTGTAGCAAAGATGTCCTAATCAGGTAATCTTATAGAGATGAGTTGTTGTTATCTGGTATTTGACAATTTGACAACTATGCTGAGGTTTTTTTCAAAAATAAAGCTCAAGAAGTTTCTGGAGAAATATAATTCTCCTAGACTTGATCCTTCTTGAGGGATCAAGGCCACTTTGATGGAATGTCATGGAAGTGAAGATGCTTAACCTAAAGCATAGCTATCAAAACTGCATACTTATTCAATCACAACATTTTATTGTCAACTGTCAAAATTATAATCACAAATTTTCTCTTTGATATGTGAAATCATGTGTAAGAGAGATGGTCGAAGACCCTTTACAAACTTGAAATTCGATTTTAAATACTATCTATGCTTTTGAGTGCCTGGAGGTTTCTTCCTTGGAAAAGGTTAATGTTTAGTTTCGTCGGTGTTCCTTTGATTCCTACTTTGTGCAATTTCAGTCCCCGTATGTCCAACCCTAGAATGTTAGAAAGGAGTGGTCTAAGAATGGTGGCCTTTGGTGGAAAAAACATAGCAATTCACAAGAGAGTCCCGGCCAATTTTTAGGCTATAGTCCGATAAGCATAACTTTTTGTGCAGCATTAGAATGTCATTTATAACTCTTACGTTGGGTTTCCTAGGCTTTTGTCCTCGAGGACACCACACAAAAGTTTTTAGGTTGATATGCGGAAGTCTCAAACAAGCTTAATGGCTTAACATCTTTGACTTTTTGATTAGGAAGAATCGATGATCCGAATTTTAAATAGCATGGCTGGCTGTTGCTTCTTAACGGCAAAACCATGATACCATAGAAGTCTCCTTGTGGGGCCTTGAAATGAGTAATACAGAAAGCATATTTCTGAAAATTTAAGCTTATGATCCTAGTATAATATGATACTTGGACATATGTAATCTACATTATTGTGGTCCATTTTATGTGGGGTGCATATAAGCTTGCGTTCACTTGACAAAGTATTTGAAGGGAATTTAATGGTTTTCTATGCTGATGGCCCCTTACTACTAGCAATGATGGTACCTTGATAGTGGTCAGGATCTTCGAAATGTTCTTGTAAAATAAGAAATTTCCATGAGTGTATAGAAATATGCTTTGGTTCTTAAGGCAATTTGTTATTGTCCTGAAATTGTGAGGTACATTTTGGATTTTAGGAAGAACAAGATTCATGATCATTAAGGTATTATATTTGTGAAATACTTGGCGGCAAAGAATTGCTTAGCTAGTTGTGTCCTCACTTCATGCACCCCATCTATCGACACTAATATGAACGGACACAATTGGTTGCTGTCGAATCTTGGGCCCAGTGACTTCAACTGTGAATGGGACTTTTTCTCCCCAACAGAGGAGAAATCAAGGGTTGATGGCCTTTTTATGGCTGCAAATTATATTTATATTTCTTTTCATCTTAACTTGACCCTAGAGCCCAAGTACTCTTCTTATTTTAAAATTTATGTTTGCATATTCCCTATGCACAATTTCAACATTTCCATGTTAATTTCATAATTCTCTCTTTGCTATCTTCCTCTTCCTACAATTGGCTTTTTATTGAACTCTTGTTAATTAATTCTCCATAAATATCTGCAGGGAAGCGGTTAGCTGCCAGTACTGCAAAGGTAACCTCTTACTTTGGAAGTCATATGCGTTTCTAACACTATATCCATTTCTATTCTGGAAAGTGGCTAATGGTGGTGGTTCTTTAAGATACAGTCTGAGCGATGATTAAGAGTTCTCAGGCTCCTGTTGATTTCAACTGTAAAATGATGATCTTGAGAGATTCTTTCATACCATCCAGTTTCCAGACATCTTCACACTTTTTCTCTAGTCTCTTACTGGTGTTCACAACTTATAATTCATATGAAATGCACTCATATTACTGGTTTTCTTTCTTTTGGATTTCAAGGTTCTTTTTCATGTCAAACAGATATTGGTTTAGGTTGATTGGATTCTGAGGATAAACTGTTTTTACATGTTTTGTTTTGAGGTTGTTTTTGACTCATAGGCTCCTTAATTGGCTCTGATATTGCTGGATGTAAGTCCCGATAGTCAAATTTGGGTTACAGTTTTCGCTTTCTTGCTGAGCAGATTCCTTTAATTCTAATTATCTTGTTGAGGATCGTTGTTGACCAACTGGCTTGATTATTGATCTGATTTAGCATTCTGAGAAGTCAACTTCGGAAACTTATTTAGATGTTGCTCTGAATAACCGTGGACTTGACAGTGTGAATTTTTCTTAAAAATCTTCTTGGTTCTGCTTTGGCCTTACAAATGTGAAATGATTGTCAAACCGGAGCTTTTTTTTTTTTTGTTTGGGGGAGGGGTGGATACCTGGCCTTTTAATTTTTTTTTATTTTCCTTTTTCCTTTTTCCAATAATAGAAAGGCCAGAACTTTCTTGACATGTTTGGATACTCTTGCACTTCATGTGAGCGAATGATCATTTGAGATTTACTTGTTTTCATGTTTGTCCTGATATCAGGTTCCTTTCATAAAAGACATGTGAGGAAGTCTACTGGAGCCATTAATGCTGTGACCACATATACCTGTCATAAGTGCCATGTAAAGAAGAATGTTGGTGCTCATTCGAGAATGGGGATTTTAGAATCAAGAAAAACTAAGAAGGCCTCAAAAGATTCAAAACAGCTCAGGCCACTGCAGTCAAAACGGAAGAAAAAAGGTGGTCTAAATAAACCGATGCAAGGAAATAAACAATTAAAGAAAATTCCAAAAAACAAAAAAGTAAAAACAGTTGTACCTTTACGGCGGTCCCCCAGAAAAACTAGGTCTGCGTTGCTTCAAAATAAGAAAATCAGAGCACATAAAAGGGGCAAACGTAGAAAATCAGCAAATGGGGTGTCAAAAAAACAATTGAAATCTCCTTGGCAAAAGAAGAGATCGAAATGTTGTCCGCCCTTTTGGTTTAATGGCCTGCATTTATCTAGAAAACCAAATGACGAAAGGCTACTTCATTTCAAGAGTAAAAATCTGCTCGTCCTCCCTGGCGATCCAACTGTGGATGTACAAAAGCCAAAATGCAATCTTTGCTGTGAGCTGGAATATTCGCCTGGACTGATTTATATTTCTTGTGAACTTTGTGGAGGTAAATAAGTCATCTTTTCATATTACCATCTTTTCCTTTTTAAGAGTTAAAAGAAAGCTAATTGAGTAAACGAAGAGGATAATTTTTTTAGATCTCTAACTGAAGAATAAATCAAGAAATAGGCTGTGGTGAATTTCATTTGCCACTGACGTTTGCAATTTAAAGTAGCTACACGAGAATGTGTATGAAGCCTTGAACTTCTCTTTCCTTACTGCGGCCTTGAACTTCTCTGTCCTTTATGCAGCCTTGTACTTTGCTAAATAGATTATGCATCAAGGACAACAAAGTTCAAGGCTGCATACACAAAGTACATTCTTGTGTAAGACCATGAAATTAGGGAAACTTATAAGTCAAATGATATGGCTTTGAAGGTGGTTTTTTGCTTCTATTTTCTTTTCCGTTTTTGTTTTTACCTGTTTTGCATTTTGCACAAACATGGCCTGAGATATGGTATGTCGGTATTAATTTGAATTGCCTTGTGTTGTCTGGAACACACTGCAGATTGGTTTCACGGAGATGCTTTGGATCTTAGCACGGAAAAAGTGGAGGCCCTTATTGGGTTCAAGTGTCATGTTTGCCTTGGGAGGAGCCCTCCTTGCTGCCCCAATTTGAATGCAATGACAACTGAGGCAACATCATTGGATGCCTTGGTTGATTCAGAAGTGAAGGGCATAATCTTGAAGGACATTGATGGGAGACAACTATCTGATACCACTCTTGGCTCCAGTGAGACTTCTAAAATTGATGAAATGGAGCAATTAGCTTGTGATCCAGAACATAAAGCAGAAAGAGTGCCAGTGGTTTGCAGTCCATATAGTGAGGACGATCAGAAAACTTGTGGATTGATGACATCAAATGGGGTAACTTAGTGCAAAAGGAAGCAATCAAGTTTGCTGATATTTGTGGTGAATCACCTTTCCCATTGAGGTTTACATTTTGCTATCCAAGTCCAGTGAGGATCTTTCACAAAAAGGCCTATCTCCTTTGTTGCATAGCCATGTGAAGAAATGTTTAGGAATGAAGCTCCTTTAGTGCATAGCCATGTGAAGAAATGTTAGTGAATGAAGATTCCTTTTTTCCTTTCCATGATTGAAAATCTTTTGACTCAACTGATTAGTGCCACCAGGATGTAATCTTAGTTTCTGGATTTATAATCGGAGAAGACAGCACATAGATTCAGTCATTAACCTATACTTGATTTATGGGGTCTTAGGGAAAACCAATAGATTTTGACCTTTGTGAATCCATTGATGTCATCAGCTTTATTTGCATGTAGATGATTGAATTAAAGCCAGAGGAGTGAACTGTTATTTGATGTTTCCTCCTTTTCATGTGTCTACTTGAAGATACTTGGTTATCTTGCTGGAACAACAAATGTTTCTGCAAGTCACGTGATCTTACTTTTCTCTGTACTAGCTTGGCAGCTTACTGTTTATTCTTTACTTTTGGACGCATGCCTGGGTATATTCTAGTGTATTGCAGCAATTATCTTTGGACGGCACACTTTGAAGGCTTCACTTGGGGTTGCTTGCGCATATACTTGCTCGTTGAAGGATGGTTAGTCTCTAGTCAAATCTCAAAAAAAAAATTAAACTATAATTTGTTATTGAATATGGGATTTCCTATGATAGTTTTTATTTATCAGCAATTTTAAGATAAAGATTAATAAGGCATTTTCAGGTTGATGTTACTGTATGAATATTATATGTTTACTTTAATCCTTTTCCTCTGGTTAGCTGTTAAAATGTGTTGACTGAGAGTTTCCAGAAGATTCCAATTTATACAGTCAATGATTTTTTTAGATTTCTTCTCATGCTTATTTGTGAAAGGAAATTGACACTTGAGGTGTGCTTGCTGGCGTTTTTCCCATATCTGTTTATGAAATAATGCTGGGTACTTGATGTTTTTCTATTATAATGTATTGATATTTCTAGTTTCTACGATGGTTGCCAACCAACTCCGCACTTCATGTTTTTGATAGGTTCCCGCCTAAAAGAAATTATGTATCATGTTATCGACTTTGGTTTTGAGGTTTTTTTGACAAGTTTCTCAATCATGTTTAAAAATTGACATCTAGCAATAGTTGATTTTGCTCAAACCATGTCCATTTTATGTTAATCCAGTCTAATATCCCGTTTTGTGCTGATGTTTTGATTTTGTTCTTCTAGACTATTTTGCATGCTACGTCATATTGGCTCCATTGTGTGAGCAGCTAGGAAGATGATAACTATTTATGTTTAAACTAGCGGACTTTTTAGGCCACAGTAATATAGCTGCAGAAGTATGCGCGTTGACTTTGATTCATCAGCATAGCTAGTTGCGCTGAGATCCAGATATAACAAGAAGAGTTTTTTATGAGGTCATAAGATTCTCAACAGGCAGTTGTAGCTGCAGCTCCATTATTGTAACTCTTGGTTCTTCTAATTTTTTTTTTTTTTTTTACTTGGATTATCTAATTTCTATTATGGCCTAAGAAAGTGAGAATATATTACTAGTAAGTGAAAATTTCAGAGAAGTGTGCTTTAGGTGGTTGGGCATGTATCATAAGAAACTTCTAGATGTCATAGTACTTGTGTAGAAATAAAGGAGAAAGGTAAAAACCAAAAAGAATTGAAAAGACTCTATTAAGGACAAAGATACGAGGATATTCATTTTAACTGGACATTGTTGGAGATGGTCCCCTTTGAGGGCAATAGTGAGAAAAAGTATTTAATTGTTGCTGTATGCATTGAGATATGTACAATCCTGCTTCAGGCTCCAGCTTCATACTCAACTGTGGAAGATTGGTCAACAAGCATTAGTTCAGCGTAACGGATTTAAGAATTACCTTTTACAAAAGAATGAGTACCAATTTCGTGTGTGATGTTACTACGATAACGGATTTTGTCTCATTTCAAATTGAGTGCTCTGCTAGCAAGCAATAATTCACTGAGATTAGAGCATGTAGATGCACGTGCATTTTCTGGCCTTCACTCGGCAGACATTGGCATTCCCTATTTATTTGGAACTCTGATCCTTATCATTGTTTAAATGGTATTTGTGTTTCTATACTCTGTCAAATATGAGCATTTCAGATTTTCCTATTTCTGAATTTAGCGGACATGACATGATGTCATCAAGATATCAGTACCTGCTGTTGACGTCATCAAGATATCAGTACCTGCTGTTGACTTCATCTTCCTGCTGGAAGAATGAGCTGAAGCTTGGATTCTTCTTGTATCAGGCGTGCTATTTAAATCCTATTAATATTTTGCTAAATGTTTGTTTAAATTCGGCTCTCAGTAGTGTTTTTATTACTCTCATTGATTCTGATTCTACCTGTAAGTTCTTTTCTGTTTTTCTTTTTTAAAAATAATGAGCAAGGAATATCCGTCTTTCTGCTAATTTTTTTTTTATTATTTTATTTTGGGGTTCTTCAGCAGTACTGTCCTTTTCAGCTTAAATTAAATGAAGCTGGAGAGTTGGAGTATGGGTATGGATTTGGAGCTAGGCCTGAATAAACTATTCTGCACTGTTGTGGTTGAGAAAATGCATGAAGTATTCCTACTCATCTCTGGCAGGGAAACAAATTCAGGTAATGGTGAAGATCGTAAGATTCTGCAATAAATTTGACTTCCTCATTCCATTATTAAGAGTACTAGGTTTCATTTATCAAGAATTCAGGTTTCCTACTTTATTGAGTAAATCAGGTATGTTGTCCCGGTTGTTCTCTTCGCCTAAACATCTGGCCATTGCAAGCTCAGTGTACACTTGGTTAGTTAACTGTTTGTTTAGCATTGCGTGCAACTTTACACTTGGTTACTTAACTGTTTGTTTACCATTGCGTGCAACTTTGGGAAATTTTGGTAAGTGTTATTTATCTATTGAGTGTTTACATCTTTTCTACATTCTGTGGCATCTTTTGAGAGTTGAGTTGGACTTCTAATTTTTCCTAAATGCTACGTGATGAAGCGAAGGATTTGCATCAAGTATTGCCTATTAACTGAAGTAAATGAGTTCCTTTTTCCCTGTGGGATTTGCGTGAAGTTATCCTATCTTGACATATTCTGTAAGTCGTACCCCTAAAGCTAACCCATTGGACTCGAAAGCTAGGGTTCTAACATCGGGTGGAAGCAGCGTACATCCTTTTCCTATCCTATCGTTGCACATGGACAGAGAATAACTGATCGAAATATTCCATCTCAGGAATTGTTGGAGCTGATAAAATATTTGATCTTTGAAACATTTCCGATCAATAATCTTTAAAACTCTACAATAGATACGCTACGAGAATAATATATGCCCGCGGTTTAATAGCAGAAATATGCGCAAGACCAAGAGGTTTGGATTGCTAGTTATAAATTTTTCTTACTTTCAAAAATCAAATCCACATCCTCGTTTAGTAGTGGAATGTCCTAAGACTTTTTAATTTGTTCTAAATTTGATTTACGATATTCGTCTAATTAAAATTAAAATCTTAAAAATATATTTTAATTAAAAATAAAAATTTAAAAATATATTATATTTTTATATTTATTAGGTTTTCCTAATTATTATAAAATATTTTTAAATTATTTTTTTCAATTAAAAGAAAATACATACTAAATTTTAGAACGAATTATTCTTATTAAACAGGTAGTATATTAATTGAAATGAAAGCATTCATTATGGCCTGAGAAAGGAATGGAAAAACGGTTTGTTTTCGCTGAATTATAGAGCAATGATAGAGACAGCGATAAATTATAGTGAAATGAAATAGTTACTAATTAAAAGACAGACATTCCTTAATAAATATGTGTACTTATGGTGTAAATGTAATTTTAAGGCAAAAATATAATTTTAACGGGAAAGTGACGAAAAAATGAAGGACAAGATTACTCCGCATCACTCACTATTTTTTTTCACTATTTTTTTTTTGTTCACTATACATATCATTTTCCTTTTATGAAAAAAAATACGAAAAAATAAACACGCTCTATAACTATGGGTTCCGGATTACTTACTTTTTTTATGAAAACGAGGAAATATTAAAACATAAGCATAAATTAAGCGCGCTTAAAATCCATAATAATATTATGCGCAAGTTATGGGTTATTGCTCTATACAAAGTCTATTTTCATAGAGTAATGATACAGATAGTGAAAAATTATAGTGAATTTGGATAGTGGCAAATGAAAAGACAAAATACACCACTACACTAAACATGTCTAGTTATTAATTAATGGTAAAATGTAATTTTAGGGAAAAAATAAAATTTCAACAGGAAAATGATAAAAAATTAAGGTCCATGATTAATTCACAGCAGTTACTATTTTTATTCATTGTATATATCATTTTCCCTTTTGAAGATTCATAGAATAATTCGACCAAAAAAAAAAAAAAAAAGATTCATAGAATAAGATATAACAAGAAAAATTCGTAAAATTAAAATTCTTAAAATTCAGCTAACACTTTGGCAACCCTCTAACAATCAAAGAAAATATACATGAAACTCAGCATTACATTTCAAATTTGATACTCGTTAAAAGTGGATGTAGGAGATTTTTGGTTTAAAAAAAATTGAATTGCTTTTTGGGGGCTTTTCCCAAAAAAATTAAATAAAATAAACGTGGACAAATTTAAATTTTTCAGAATATCTGTGGACAGAAATATATTGCTCGGATTTCTGAAATCCGAGTTTTGATTAATATTAGAGATTCAGATTTTGTAAATCCGGATCCATACTTAATAATAAAATAATAATTTCATAAATTTTGTTGAATAATAGTTTTTTTTGTTCTTTAATGAACAGTAAAGCTCGGATTTGTAGAATCCGAGTTTAGTTAAAAATTAATAAATCGCGGCGCGAACTTTTTGAATCCAAAAAACCGGAAGTCCGTAATCCGGTTTGACGAATTCGGATTTTAGAAATCCGGATGCCTTTAATTTTGGTTGGTGGAAGTAGGCATGTGCCTTAAATTGGAGGACCAACAAATTAATAAAATAATCTGAATTGACTAAACTCGGATTTATGAAATCCGAATCTAACACGATTCGGATTTGAAAATCTGAAGTTACTTACAAACTCGGATTTCGTAAATCCGAGTTTAACGTGCTATAAAAGAAAAAAATTTGGCGGTTCTCATTCGAGAACCGAGTTGGATTTTCTGTTTTGCGGCTCAAACAAGGGCGAATTGAAGTTTTTGATGCATTCTTGCCTCTAGATACGTGGAAATCGTTATTTGAAAGAGGTTAGATTGCAAAACCATGTTATTTAGTTTATTTTTGTGTTATTTTGATTGTTAGAATGATGTATGATAGATTAGGGTTTATGTTGGTTGGTTGTTTGGATGTTTTAGGTGTTGATTTTGAGGTTAGAGATGAGAAATCATAGTTGTTCATGAGATATCGAAGTTGATTTATAAGTATTTTAGTATGGTGTATTTGTTGGAGTATGTATGGTGTATGGTGTATGGTGTATTTTAGAGAATGTATGGTGTATTTTGTTGATTTTGTTATTAAGAAATGATTAGTTATTGATGTTTTTTTTAACAGTTATCAATGGCACGTAATGTATCATACATGCTTAATTTGTATCATACAAGTAAGTATGTGATAGAGAACGGTAGCATCAACACTTTTTTGAATATGCCGGATGATGGTTTGTTTGTCGAAGAAAGGTTGTCATATGAGGGATTAATTAGTAAGATTTGTATGACCCTTGGTTGGGATCCAGACACGTGAAACTCCACCTTTCTTTGATTTTCGATAGTCGCGGTGGTAGGCGTGTAGTGAAGATCAAGAATGATTCGCATGTAGAGTTCATGAACCGTGTAGATCCAATGTCATGTTTGGATTTATACATAGATTTGGAAGATATCACTCAAGAAGAAAGAGAAGCGAGTTTGGAAAACGTGTCATTTGGTGATTTTCGAAGGGGGGAACGTGCTAGTACTTCTCGAAACCGTGATGAAGAGGAGACACCTTTATTTGCACAAAATGACTACCGGGAAGAGTTGGATTCCGACTACATAGCTCCAAGTGAAAGCGAAGAAGACGTGATGTCTCCGGAGAGAGTGATTTTGAAGAAAGTGATGATGAAAGGTTGGAAAATGAGGAAAGGGATTGTAATCTATTCGCCCGACGCCATGTATATAGTAAGATGGGGAACGGGATGCCTCATGTGTAGACAAGGATGAGTTTGCTCTTAAGATGTGGGATGAGACGCCCGAAGGAATGGACATTGGTGTTTGTTTCAAATCTCAATCGAAGCAAAGCATCTTGTGAAATTATGGAATATCCATCATAAAAGGGAATATACGGTCGCCGCGAGTAGTCCAAGGACGTGGGGCATGCGGTGCGGAACATTTAATGTGAAAAGTGAGGATGGTGAACCACCATGTGAGTGGAAGATGCGTGTGTCATTGAAAGCTCACGGCCTTCATGAAATTGTGAGATGGCATGATGCACATAATTGCATGACTCTGTGAATGATAATGACAATCGGTGTGTGGACGCGTCTTTGATTGCTAGACTCATCAGAGAAAGGTTGAGGACAACGTAGATTATACGGTAGCCTCGGCACGAAAGATGTGAAGACCTTATTGAAAGTAGATGTGCCATACAAAAGGGCGTGGCACGGGAGGAGGAAAGCCATAGAAGCGGTCTATGGTGATTGGACCTCCAATTTCGAAGAACTTCCACGGTAAATATCAACTTTTATCCGTGTATTGAAATATTTATAGTATTTTTATTTTTACATGTATTGAAATATTTTAACAATGACTTGTTGTTGTTTAGGTATATCGCTGCGCTTAAGTTTACTAATCCCGACCTTTGTAGTAGAGTGGGAATGGAAGGAGGGACAAGAAGGTTGGAACAGGGAAACCGGACATTTAAATACGTCTTCTGGTCATTTGCACCGGTGGTTGAGACGTTTTTTGAATGTCCACCGGTCATTTGTATCGATGGAACCTTTTGCGTGGTGGATACAAGGGTAAATTGCTTGTTGCGGTGGTGTATACCGCAAACAAGCACATTTTACCGGTTGCATTTGCGATTGTTGATGAGGAGACAGAGAGAGTTGGACATTTTTATGAGGAATTTGAGGTTGTGGGTTGTGTATGATAGAATCGTAAGTGTGATATCCGACCGGAATGCGGGGTTGTTGAGCGCAATGTCACGATGGATGAATGGCGTGATTTAGGTGATGGTGGGCACTTTCTTTGCCTCCGCCACGTTCGCAGCAATCTTGTGTCGCGATATAATAGCAAAAAGGTGAAGCGGTTATGTTGGAAGATGGGCACGACGCTTTCAAGAGTGAAATACAACCGTATGAGGCGAGCTTATTGAATTCAAACCTGCTGCATGGGAGTATCTTCGAGGGATTGGGGGGAGTAACTGGGCTCGATTGAAAGCCGGTCTTCGCCGTTGGGGCATAGCGACAACCAACATTTCTGAGAGTTACAACAATGCGTTGAAAGGGATCCGTTTTTTACCAATTAGAGCCTTGATCGATGCAACCTTTCGCAAAACTGTTAAATTCTATAGAGAAGAACAATTGTCTGCAAGAAATTGCATGACACCGATCCCTCCTGAGTTATGGAGAAAGTACGAGAAAATGAATGATAAAGCAGCCAGTTTTGAAGCCACCCCTTTCGATGGTGATGATGCTATGTGGCGTGTTGTTACTGCCACACGCCTAAGTGGCAGGGGTGGGTCTTTGCATACGGTGAACTACGATGAACATAGGTGTTCGTGCAGGAAGTGGCAAGAGTACCGGATGCCTTGTACGCATGCACTCCAAGTTTGTCGGAGAAAAGGGGATCGGCCTATTGATCTATACCATAGTGTGTGGCGCCTTCCAACGTGGCGCAGACAATTTCATTACACGGGCTTTGTTCCAGTTCCCGATGAGGAACAATGGCCGATGGTCAATTGGAACATCATTCGAATTATGAGCGTCTTGTGTTGCATGCGGGACCGGGACGAAGACAAAAAGGAGACATAGAATGCAAATGGATTACAGGGGCGCCGGAGCCGGGGAATGTTGGAGATGTGGACAACTAGGTCATGATGCCAATTCATGTCCGTTCTCGCACCTGTGAGTAGATAGAAGACACGTGAATGACAGCTGGAATTAGTGTAATTTACTGTTCTTGCAAGTTATTTAGTGTTTGATAAATTTATGTGAACATTGATAAATTCGGATTGTAATGTGAACATTGAATTTTTCGGATTGT